ACATATATTTATAACCTACATTTAAATTTGGGAAATACTGATTAAAAATACTACACAGATGTCCTAACAAAATATTTGTAAGTGTGGACCATTTTCCAAGATACAAAATTTAAGTACATTATCTTTACTATATATAAAAGCATGAAGCTTTCCTCCAAAGGTTATCTTGAAACCATGGAACAAACAATTTCTAAATGTTATTCTAAATGGAAGTATATTTACAAAGTACATCTACATACTATATATTGAATTTATATATGCATATTTACATAGTTGTATAATTATATAGTACAAGTAAAAAATAATAAATGTGAATAATACATGATCACTTCAGGAGAGTGGGAAGAGGAATGGGGAAGGGAAGAGGAGGATTTTAGTGTTATTGTAGAAATTTAAATGTATTAAAAGAGATATCTTATACCAAATTTTAAAAACTATTAAAAATAGTACACGACACTTATTATATAATTTACATAACATGATACTTGTTATATAACAAGTCTATATGTGTGAATTTTTTTTTGTTGTTTTTCTGAGATAGGGTCTGTCTCTGTCACCTAGGCTACAGTACAGTGGTGCAATCATGGTTCACTGCAGCCTCAATCTCCTGGATTTAACCGACACTCCAGCCTCAGCCTCCAGAGGAGCTGACACTACAGGTGTAAATTTTTAAATATATTTTTTTTCTGCAGAGATGGGATCTCACTATGATGCCCAGGCTGGTCTTGAATTCCTTGACTCAAGCAATCCTCCCGCCCTGGCCTCCCAAAGTGCCAGGATTACAGGCATAAGCCACCACTCCCAGTCTGAAATATTTTATAATTTAACATGTACTTGCTTTAACTTTATAAAAACAGTTATAAGGTAATAAGAGTACTTATAGCTTATAGTTATAACTGTGTAGCTTATAACTGTATAGCTTATAAATGTAGCTTATAAGCTTAGAACTATAGCTTATAACTTATAAATGCAAGCTTATAGCTTATAACCGTAGCTTTGAGTAGTGAGTTTCAAATTCCCTGATCACATATTTAAAAGAAAATAAAAGCACGTGTTGATAGGTTCTGTCTTTTTGGTTGAATGTTTTCAGCGTCGTGTTGGGAAAGCCAGGTTGCAAAAGATACAAAGACACTGTAAAAAGTTCAAGTTCTCTTCACGAGCTCTAGTTAGTGTGACAATAGCTAACACATTAATTAAAGATCATTAGCCAAACAGCAAGTTATAAAATGAGATTGCACAAAAGCAGCAAATGAGGTTGAATCAACTTAGAGGCAAGAATCTTCTTTGAAAACTCAGAATTCTAGATTAGATGAAAGGATGCAGGAAAATAAGCAGAAAGCAAGACGACAGAGAGGAGTCATATGGCAGAGCAACAGTGGGTGCCAGAAAGTTGGGGCATGAGTGCAGAGTCAACCACTAGAGACCAAACAGGAAATTGCTGATAAAAAGAGAAAATATTTCAGAGGCATTGAGAATGCAAAAGAATCTAAACTGTAAACTAGGGAGAGAGAACATAATAGAAAGATCCAGATTCTAATACCATCTTATGAGTTCAATTTTAGAAAAATTTCAACTCTGATTACTAAGCAGACATGTGATGCTAGTATAGTCTGTCAAATTCTTAAATCCTCTATTAGTTCTTGAAATAGAATAGAGTAGACTGAAGGTGAAGAAAGTTTGAAGTTGAAATTTCAAATAAATATTCTGGAGCTGCTACAATCGGGATATTCTACTTATTTTGGTCAGGCATTCAAACCTGGTGTTTGCCCAAGATTGTAATAAACAGTGCAACAGCCATACAAGAGCATTCCTCCACGGTCTAATATAATTGTATTTGTGTACATTTTTTAAAACTTGTTTTTCTCTTGGTATAAAGTTTAAAAGAGCAGACACCTTCGAGCAAATAGAAGTGATTTTATACAAACTATTGACAACTCGCAAAATGAATTTGTAACTATCTTGTCATGAACACGAGGCTAGCATAGATTTAAATTTTTACTCAGGCAAAAATAGAGCTCCAAGATGTTCTTTAAAGACCTTTAATAATTTAATCCAAATGTGCCAAATGTACATTTTTACAGATTCATAAATTCAGCTGTCTCAAAAACCAGGCGTTAATAAAATGGGAAGTTATATAGTTAATTTAATTTTTAAAATTTATATCCAAAGTTTCACCAAGACTAAATTATTAATGCTGGTCTCCTACACTATATTGAATTTACATCTATTCAAAGTCTCCTTAAATTATACATTAGCATACAATTTTTTCATAGATTGAACATTTGTTGTTAAAATTGTGAGTACTCATAGATCCAATTATACCAGGTTAAATTCAATAAACATGGTATTTCAGTAAATATAAATACAGAATTTAAAAAATATTTACAATGATTATTATTTTAATTCCCTACACTATATATATATTTTGTATGTGTTAAGTTACTCTGCTTCATTTTTTTCATAGTGCTTCTCTCTCTCTTTCTCTTGCTTCTATATTGCTTTCTTTACATAATTTAAATAAAAACAAAACAAATTGTTTAAATTAGAATATGCCAAGGTAGAACAAATTACAATGTTCAGACTTTAGAAATGAAATAATCCTATTGATAATGGAACTATAGATAAATACAAAAATTGGTGCTGAGAAGTAAGAGATAATAACTAGGTGAACTTCAAGAGCATAATAGAATCTCCCCTTAAACATAGCACGGGTTAAGAAAACTATGGACACAAACTGAAATAAAAATGGATTCTAAATAGAGATCCTGCAAGAGGGAATAGGTTAGACACTCATCCCACACTTAATGCAATCCTACTCTACATCCTGCTAAGTCCTGAGGATATGGGACATGTGAAATAGTGAAACACACCCATGCTTCTAGACAAGATCGGTTCTTAGACATAAGGATACATAACTGAGTCAAACGATAAGGACTTGGCATAACACCGTGAACCTTTGCAAAGTGTTATGTTTCTTTCCCATTCAATAAAAACACCAGAAGGAGAATCATCCCAGGGAGTGTTAAAGAATTAGCATAAATATGTAACATTTCTATATTTATTGAGGACAAAAGGAAACAAGGTGGCCACTTATCCCTTTAGAAAATAAGGGGCATGAAATGCTGTACTAAGATATCACATAGAATTTTCTTTACATTAATTAGCACCTGTGCACAATAAAATTGTATAACTCAAATCAGATGACAACCCTCCATCCTTGCTCCCCATATGTGTGTGTGTGTGTGTGTGTGTGTGTGTGTGTGTGTGTGTACACTGGTCTGGAACTTACAGCAATACTAGTGGCTGGGAGAATCCTATATAACCTCACTACTGAAAACATTTAAATATATTTTTCTCTTCATATGGAAAGAATGAAGTATATTTATGCTGTATCCACAGAGGTTCAAAGCAGATGCTTTGGTTTCCAATAATCCTGGAGTCACATCCCAGTTACAGGACTTGCTAGCTGTAGGACTTTAGACAAGTTACAGAACCTCTTTTTGCCCACTTTCCTTACCAATGAAATCGGGGTAATAAAGAGATTAAGTAAGATAATCACTCTAAAGCTTTTAACATATTTCTCGGGCCATATGGTTACCATCAACTAAATATTCGGTATTGTTGTTACTAAGGTGATTGATAATAATCTATTTGAAGCATATAATCTACCAAAACAGAGTTAAACCATGCTAAAGTGAGGAAACGGAAAGAGAGGAAAATACAGAAATAACAACCCAGTCCAGAAATTGTTCAGAATTAACAAGTCATTATTTCACTTTTGTTTGGTAAGTGAAAATGCAAAAGACAACAGAGTAAACTAGCCAGTAATATAAACTAGCCCACAAAAGTCCTTGGTAGTTGCTATGGACTAATTGGTGATGAATGCAGTTTGAGGCTTTGTGAAGTAATTCTGAAAACCAATTCCACAAAGTGGTAAATGGTTGTTTTATGATATTGTGGTAAGCTATACTGGTTGCATATTCTAAAGACCCAATTATAAGAAGATAGTATTAGGAAAATCACTTAGAGACATGTTATTATTGCCAGCACTTATACATGTAGCTCATAAGTGTTGTTGAAAATAAATGAAATTTCAGAGCACTTAAAGGTTTTTCATTATTTTCATTTTCTCCATAAAAGTTCAATGAAAGTACTGTGGAATCTAGCAAATGCATTTAACACACTTTTATGAAGTCTGGGAGTCCTATCCAGTTTGGACAAACTTTGTCTTTTCTAATCAATTACTAGATGAAATGCTTTTTGCTTATCCAACAATGCCAAATTGGCATATTTGTCTACAGAACAGGCTCAATTAATGTTAATAAATGCTGATAAAATGAATTACACATAGCAAATACTCTTGATTTCTGTCTCAGTGTTAACAGCTTTAAGATAGAATCAAATATATTAAACAAAATAAATATATTCTCCATTTCTGCAATGTCAATCAATAAATTATTGTAAATAAAATTATTTTAAGTGAAAATATTAATGTTTCAAAAGCAAATGCTGGCTTAAATGATCACCGTCATCTACTAACACAGAACAGATGCTTTTTATTCTTTTTTCACACTGTATTCTATTAAAGAATGACATACAATAACCATTGAATAACTACAGAATCTTAGGGATTTAAGCAAAAAAAAAAATGAATTCCAGAATGATGTGAATATAGTGTTTCCTTATTTCTATTCACTAAATGCTAATGCTAGCATGTTCACACTCTAATATAAGAAAATAATGGTCTTATTCTACCTCTTTGGTTTATCTTTTATAAAGTTCTGGGTTATATTAAGGAATATTTACTCTTCCATCTTATCACTCCAGGCTTTTTGTAAAGTAGCTAACCTAGGTTTTTATGAGTCTGTGAACACAGAGACAAAACCTTTTCAGGTAAGACCTTAGTTTCAAAAGAATTGTGTTCAAATTTGCTTCACTGTGGTTATTGAAGATGATGACCCAAAAACGGAGAGAGAAGACCCAGAGTCACAAACACTCACCGCAGTTGGCCTCGTCTGATGCATCTGCACAGTCTGGATCCTCATCACAAACCCACAGCTTGGAAATGCAATGTTTCGTAGTCTTACACTGGAAATAGTCTGGAGAACAGCTGTTTTCAGCTTAGGAAGAAAACTGCTATTAAAATGTAGCTTTGGAGAACATATTTATTTATTAAAAACAAATTTTATAGACAAATGTTTAAGACAGTTTATCAAAAAAAGTATTGTCTTTAATAGGACGCTGAAGGTGAGGAATTTTAACTTTTAATTTCTTATGAGATACTCATGATATCCTCTCCAGTAAAAATAAAGAAAACATATTTTTGCAGTGATACACTGATAAATATCAGAGTTTTCAAAAAAACTTTTGATTAGATATTTGAACACTAATTTTAAGAATTAAGAATTCAGGGACTTTCAAAATAAGTCTTCTTCCAGAAAAAAATAAGAAGTCATAGGTACACATTTTTGTAAACTCAAAAATACTAAAATTGGAAGGCATTAAGTGAATAAGGAAATAAAAAGTACAAAGTTTATCAAAATGTCTAGGAATTGTGTTGAGTTTTATACATATATGGAGTCTTGCTCTGTTGCTCAGGCTGGAGTGCAGTGATACGGTCTCGGCTCACCGCAACCCCCATCTCCCAGGATCAAGCTATTCTCCTGCCTCAGTCTCCCGAGTAGCTGGGATTATAAGCACCTGCCACTGTGCCCAGTTAATTTTTGTATTTTTATTAGAGACACGTTTTCACCATGTTGGCCAGGCTGGTCTCGAACTCCTGACCTCAGGTAATCCACTTGCCTTGGCCTCCCAAAGTGCTGGGATTACAGGCGTGAGACACTGTGACCGGCCTGTGTTGAGTTTTTGAGGGAAGTGAACATCCAACTTAGACTGTAAACTGCATCACAAATCCTAGTCAGTTCAATGCATCATCTTCTAGAATGGCTAACCATAAAGAACTGGTACTGACTTTATTCTGAATGCACCCTCTTAATCAAATTGCTGGATGACTGCACATTATTTACTGATAAAATTTTAGAGGAATAAAATAAAACTTCAGCAAGACAGAAATGTTGACAGCAGTTCTGTTGAAGCCCTGAAACTTGACAGGTGCTCCATTGTTCACACAATCTGAATGTGTGAGTGCGTGTGCAAGCATGTGCATGTCAGCCTATGTGCATATATATGTACATGGTATAAACCGTTTTGCCTTCCATTTAACGTAATTTGAATTTTGATGGAAGATGGAAATATGAGATGAAAAGAAACAAAATATTTTACTATCATTCTTTCAAATAGTTCATTAAGATATGTTAAATAGAGCATTATTTAGAATTTTGTAGAAGTTAAACTTTTGTTAGACTATTTTACCCAGATTTTATATGTCTCTTCATGAGTACAACATGTATTTCATGGAGAAAAAAACTCTCTAATTAAAAATAACTTAACTTCAAGAAACGAATTAATCAACAGAAGTAAATTACCTTTATCTACTTAATGTGGGCAAGCATACATTTAAAAAAAATAATCAACTGTCATGTTGTATTTGATGCTTCTCTTAAGGATGATGTGGATGAATGAATGTTGTTCATGTTTGTCATAATTTCCAGGTAGATTTTAAAGTAAACTTGCCCATATTTTCATTTTCTCTATTTTTATTTAGAGCTTCTATCCCAGTTGGCACCTATTTCTAATTATTTGACCATAATTTATTTTTAATTTATCTACATCATATGAGTTTATGAAGTATAGTAATAATTTTTAGACTTATTTTAGTTAGGAGTCAAAGTTCAGAGAAGACAGAGCATTTTGAGCTGACTTACGACAGTCTCTTTCATCTTCCTCATCACCACAGTCATCTTGCCCATTACATCTTAAGTTTACTGGGATACATTTCTGGTTCTTGGTACACTTGAATTGACCTGACAGGCAGACATGTGTGTCTGGAACATAGAGAGAGAGGAAAAAAAAAATATGTGTCTGAATTTAAATCGCACAGACATAATCAGTTGAGAATTAGACTTACGTTCATTAGTTAGGAATTTAATCACCTACCACAGTTGAGTTCATCAGAATTGTCTCCACAATCATTCTCTCCATCACAGATGAAAGCTGGTAGAGCACAGAGTCCAGTCCCACACTGAAATCGGCCTGGCTGACATTTAAATTCAGCTAGGGGAGAGAGCATAGATATTGTGGAATGGCAATCTTACCTCACAACTTCTTAAACAGAGACTTTCTGGCATTCAAGATATTTACTACAATAAATATATCCTAGAACACAATGTGAATGTCTCTCATCTCGATAGCTATCAGATTCAAATGTTTAGCTTTGAGCAACTCAGATGGCTTCCAGAAAAGATTTAATAAACCATACTTTAGAAGGTAGGAATTAATAACAGGTAAATATTTTTTAAAAAAATTAAAAACAAAAGTCTCCTAATTTTAATGAAGTGATATTGAGAAGTTAAGTTGCAGAATGAAATTTATTGTAACAAAAACTGTTATTCCAATATCATTTTTTGAGAAATTATTTCTCCTTGATCACTTGGCCTATGGTGTGTGTGATTTGACCACAATGCATATTCTTTCTTTTCTTTTTTTCTTTTTTTTTTTTTTCTTTTTTCCTTCTCAGACAGTCTTGCTCTGTCGCCCAGTCTGGAGTGCAGTGGTGTGATATTGGCTCACTACAACCTCTGTCTCTTATGTTTAAGCAATTCTACTGCCTCAGTCTCCCGAGTAGCTGGGATTACAGGCACCCACCACCACGCCTGGCTAATTTTTTGTATTTTTAGTAGATATGGGGTTTCACCATGTTGGCCAGGCTGGTCTCGAATTCCGGACCTCAGGTGATCTCCCCACCTCAGGTACCCAAAGTTTTGGGATTACAGACATGAGTCACTGCACCTGGCCCATAATACATATTCTCTATCACAATGTAAAGCAAATGTTTTCTATATCTATCACATTTTAAATCAGATTTATCAATATTCATCCCTATAATCCTATTATTATACAAGAGAACAATATCTTATAAATGGCAAATATTTTATATACTATACATATATTATAACAAGTAACTCCTAAGTGATAATGCATTTTATCTTATCGTATTATCTGGGAATAACAATAATAAGGCAGGATCTGCTGAGGATCTACTATGTGTCAGGCACTGGGCTAGACCCCTTCACATACAGTTACTAATATCATCTCGTCATAACATTCTCATTTTGGCAACACCATTTTAGCAATGAGTAAACTAAATTTACTGAATATGAATAATTCATCTAAGTATGCACAACTTTTAAGTGTCAGACTCTGAATTCAAATCTACTATGGTGTTTGCAATAAAACACTTATCTTTTGACTAATAATTTTGATGCACATTACTGATTTTGAGATTAATATTATCTTTATTAGCACAAATCAGTGAATCAAACACTAATAAATAGCATTTAAACTTTTTTGATAAATTATGCTTTTATAATTATAATATTACATAAAAATTTAAGCATTCTTTTAAAAATAACTCTATATATGGTTTGCTTCCATAGAAGAGAGTTCTAAAATGTTGACAGTTATTTGCTTCCAATCTATAACATTTGTTAATTAATCATACTAAATGTTTAAACTGAATGACACAATTATCTCATACTTTAAACATGTGCCTTTCTTCTATTTCATTTTGCTTTGTATATAATTTTCTTTAATACTCCTTTGCTATCAAAACAACTCCCCACCAGGAAAAGGGTTGCAACTATTAAAGGAATGCTTGGAAATAACTTGGAAGCCCATCTGACCTTCAAATCTGTCTCTAGAATAATCTTAAGTGTATTAGATTATTATAAGAAACATTATAACAAATCTGTGATGCCAGAGAATTTTGATGCATCCCTCCTAACTACATTTATATAAATAACAGTATGTAAGTTTGCAAGTATGGAACCCTGGGATGAGACTTTCCTGTCTTCTCAGGTGAAGTTATAAGTATTGCCAGCAGCTCTTATTGTCTGCAGGAATTGATGACGCATCTACCCGAAAGTGAAATCTAAGCATTCCGTAGACTCTTACATATAATTTTCTACTTCACCATGACTCTCAAGTAAAGTATCATGCCTACAGATATTCAAAGCTGTTACCCCATCAACTACAAGTAAATGTTTATTTGCTATACTAAAAGAAAGCTCACAGAGATAATGAAACCAATAAAAACATTTAAGACTACTGAAGAAAATATAGAGGGAAAGTTCCACGACATTAGTGTAGGTAAAAACTTTTTGGATATGACTCTAAAAACACAGGTAACAAAAGCAAAAATAGACAAATGGAATTACTTCAAATTAAAAAAAAAAAACTTATATACAGAAAAAGAAACAATCAACAGAATAAAGAAACAATCTATAAAATGGAAGAAAATATTTGCAAACAGTACATGTGCTAATGGGTTAATATTCAAAATATATAAAGAATACCCAACAGTAAGAAAAAAAAAAAAACTCATTTAAAAATGAACTGAGGATTTGAATAGGCATTTCTTTAAAAAATTATACAAATGGCCAACTGATATATTAAAAAATACTCAACATCACTAATTATCAGGAAAATGCAAATAAAACCACAATAAGGTATCATCTTATACCTGTTAAGATAGGCATTGTAAAAAAAGAAGAAATATAAGTGTTAGCAATGATGTGAAGAAAACATTTATATGTTATTAATTCCTATCCTGACCACTGAAAGTTTCTCCATATTAACAAGAAGGCATCCGTACTGTCTGATCATGTGTTCACTGCAGTAGCATTTTCATTTTCTTTTAAGAACTTTTCCTTTGCAATCATAATTTTGCTGAGTGGTACAAAAAGCATAGATTTTGGTGTATCTCGTGTTTTGAGATGCCTTTCTTGTATTTCATTGGTAGAAATGTAAATTAGTACTGCTATTTTGGGTAACAGTATGCAGGTTTCTCAAAAAATTAAAAATGTAGTGACCATATGATCCAGCAATCCCACTACTAGATATATACAGGCATACCTAGAAGATATTGGAGGTTCAGTTCCAGACCACCACAATAAAGCAAATATCACAATAAAGCATGTCATAAATTTTTTTTTTAGTTTCCTAGTACATATAAAAGTTATGTTTATACTATACTGTAGTCTATTGAGTGTGCAATGGCATTATGTTTAAAAAAACTGTACAAAATTAAATAGAGTTAGGTAGGGCCTTGCTCTGGATTGGGCTTTGGCTTAAGGAACTGTTGTAGATGACTTCATCTTCTATCCTGACCACTGAAAGTTTCTCTACATTAGCAAGAAGGCATCTGTACTGTCTGATCATGTGTTCACTGCAGTAGCATTTTTATTTTCTTTTAAGAACTTTTCCTTTGCATTCATAATTTTGCTGAGTGGTACGAGAAGCATAGCTTTTGATATAACTTGTGTTTTGAGATGCCTTTCTCACTAAGCTTAATAATCTCTAGCTTTTGATTTAAAGTGAGAGACATGAAATTCTTCCTTTCACTGGAACACTTAGAAGCCATTGTGGGGCTATTAGTTGACCTAATTTTAGTATTGTTGTGCTTAGAGAATAAGGAGGCCCAAGGAGAGGGAGAGAGAGAGGGAACAGTGGGTTGGTAGGCAGCCAGAACACACACAATATTTATTGATTAAGTTTGTTGTCTTTTATGGGTATGGTCTGCAGTGTTCCAAAACAATTACAATAGTATTAATAATATCAAAGAATATTGATCATATCATAACAAGTATGATCATAATAATGATAAAATTGGAATAGTGTGAGAATTACCACATTGTGACAGAGAGACAAAGTGACCACATGCTGTTGAAAAATGTCACCAATAGACAATATTGATGCAGCATTGCCATAAACCTTCTGTTTGTGAAAAATACAGTATCTGCAAAGCACAGTAAAGTACAGCAGAATAAAATAAGGTATGCCTGTATAACCAAAGACAATAAAATCATTATGTTGTAACACTATTTGCATTCACTTGTTCACTGCAGCTTTCTTCACAGTAACCAAGATATGAAATCAACCACAGGGTTCATCAATGGATGAATGAATAAAGAAAATATGGTATATATACATGAGGGAATAATATTCAATATTTTAAAATAGGAAACCCTGTTATTTGTGACAGCATGGATGAACCTGGAGGACGTTATTTTATGTAATACCAGCCAGGCAAAGAAAGACAAATACCACATGATCTCACTTATAAGTAGACTCTAAGAAAGTCAAACTTATAGAGACGGAGAATAAAATGACGGTTACCAGAGGCTGGAGACTGGGGAGATTAGGAAGACATTTTTCAAAAGACACAAAATTTCAGTTAGATGGAAAAAATTACTTCAAGAGATCTATTGTACATCTTGTTGACTATGGTTAAAAGCAATATATTGCACACTTGAAAATTACTAAGAGAATAGATTTTAAGTATTCTCAGCACAAAAAAAGCTAAGTATGTGAGGTAATGTATATGATAAATAGTGTAATTTTGCCATTCCACAATGTATACATATATGATAAAATTATGCTATATACCTTAAATATATAGAAATTTACTTGTCAATTAAAAAATGTATATATTAGTATTTAATCAAAACAAGGATCATAGAGAAGCTCTTAGATAACAGATGTCTCTTAGCAGTGACTCAAAAAGACACTAAAGTAATATTTGATGACCATATATTCTTAAAGGAGTTAAATGTGCAAAATTCCTAATACTATATCTGTAGTTAATTTTTCATATCAATGTGGTTCCAGGATGAAATTTCAGTCAAAATTACAACTAGAGGTCAGGAGTTGCAGGTCATTATAGTGAAATTTTCTCAGAGAACAGTGAATCTAGACAGGAAAGATCAACTTCTTAATTAACGGACTAAACTAATATATTCATTTTTGTTTATTTCTAAGAATTACAAATATAAGTTGCATTCAGTGTATTTACTGTTATCATAGAAAATTTACTTTATTGTGGGGAAAGTAATAACTTTCGCTTAATAAGAATCTCAGTAAGGTCACCCAAATAATTTATTCATCTTTTGATATTCCTTTTAACTTAATAAGTTTTTTGAAAATAATAATTCAGACATTATAGTATACCTATCCCACAGAGATACTACTCTTTATATGTTGTCTATTATAGTAAAAAACAAAACTGTATTTAAAAAATCAAAGAGCAGTGAATCTTTCAGAAACATAAGGATTATATTAGAAAAGCAATGACTTTTATGATTTTTTTCTTTTTCATTGATTTGATTACTTACTGCTTTCAAACATATATGCTATATGAAATAATTTCAATGTGTGACAGACTTGGGCATGACCAGAGAGATGGAATATAGCCTATCTAAGTAACTATCTATATGCCCTAAATTTGAAAAAGCTTTATAATAAGGTGGTAGCAAGCTCTACAGTAGAAGGTAGCCAGCTTTTTCTGTTTTTTTGCAGTGCAAGCCTAAGGATTTTGAACTCAATTGTCAAGGCCAAATCATGGCAACCATGTACTGGGATGTTGAGGGAATCATCATGATTGACTACGAGCATCTCTAACCTGACAGTGAAGTATTGGAGTGACCGACGGAATGAAGTACACAAGACTATCAAGGAAAAGTCTGCTGATGTCTCATTACAACCAAAGTTACCAACGATTGCTGAAAAAGCAGCAGCTAACCACACCAATTACAGTCAAATGCCAAACATAATTGGTAGTCACTTTAGAGCAATTGCTAAGAACAAATTAAATTACCTAATGGCAATCTAATGATTTATATTGGAAAAATCAGACTTTTAAGGAATTTTCAGGATTTCAATGCTGACAGTAAAGTTGAGAAATCATATTTCTTAAAGATAAGATTTCAGTCATTGAGTGACATTCTGGAAACTTGCCTAGTTTTTCTTCTAACTTGGTGACATGTTAAGTCAAATTAATGCTGCTTATTACCCTACTGATCACTACATGAAATAATGTCATTATTCCACAAGTAATCAAATTTGAGAAACAAAATCTAACACAAGTGGTTGATGGCGCCATTCTAAATGTAACAGTTATCAGAGAGATAATCAAAATATTGCAACAATTTTTATTTTATTTTTAAATAATGGCATTTAAAATTTTTCTATTTCAATTTTGGAAAAGTGTCAGAAGGCAATACTTTAGGTGTAGTTTCAATTTTCCAGGTCTGGGATATAAGGGACTCTAAACTAAATTTCAACATTTGCCAGTATACTCACGACAGTCATCAGGTTCATCAGATCCATCACCACAGTCATCCACAGTGTCACATTTCCACCAGAATGGAATACATTTGTCAGTTTTGCAACGAAACTTTAAAAAGAAAAAAAAGAAAAAAGAAAAAAAATGTTGAAGAACCCAGTGCCTATATAATGGATATTTTAAAATTTGGCAACATAGCCTAGCCTACATTTTTGCTCCAAATGTGAACAACGGTGATTTTGGAGAATTCCACAATAGGAACTAATTACACAACAAGCTATAAGATGATCTTCCAGGAAAGCATATTGTTCAGGAAAACCTCTTGAGATGACCTGCAAACACAGACAAGCTCTCACATTTACATGTTGTCTAAAGAGCTACTTGGTTTTGTGGTTGGTTGGTTGGCTGGTTCGTAGAGATGGGGTCTCCCTCTGTCACCCAGGTTGGAAGGCAGTGGTGTGATCTCAGCTCTCTGGAGCCTCAACTTCTTGGGCTCAAGAGATTCTCTCACCTCAACCTCTGGAGTATTTGGGACTATAGGTATCTGCCACCTTGCCCAGCTAATTTTTGTATTTTTTGTAAAGATGAGGTTTCACCATGTTGTCAAGGCTGGTCTCAAACTCCTGGGCTCAAGTGATCCTTCCACCTAGGCCACCCAAAGTGCTGGATCACAGGTGTAAATAAATCACCGCACCAGCCCTGAAGGGCTACTTGTACACTACAGCAGCAGACATGAGTACTTGCTACAGAGATCCTGTGGCCTGAAAAGTCTATAATATTTACTATCTGGCCCTTTACAGGAAAAGTTTGGCAAACACTAAATAGGGCTAAAAACTATCAGGCATATCAGGAAGAGATATCCAGTCAAACTAATTTAGGTAATTTGAATTAATTTAATTTAATTGCATTTTATTCAGAATCTTGGGCAATTCAATTAACATCTCTCAGTCTGTGTTCTTTAGCCACCAAAAGAGGATCTGAAGATAATCTGAAGTATCTTTTCCAGCTCTGTCACGCTGTGATTCCATAAACATTCCTGAACACTGAAAATACTGCCTTTAGCCATGATGAGTATGCACCCCACATAAATTTTAAGAATATCTCTTTAAAGCATTTAAGGCCAACATAGTTCTTTTCAGTTTTCAGAATTCCTAATAAATGCACATGATCTTTTAGGACAAAGAGAAATTCTGATAATTTTTTAAAAAGAGGTAAAAATAAGGCTCAATTTTTTTTTTTTTTTTTTTTTTTGCTGACTTAAAAAATTGAATGCACATGGGCTGGGCGCGGTGGCTCAAGCCTGTAATCCCAGCACTTTGGGAGGCCGAGACGGGCGGATCACAAGGTCAGGAGATCGAGACCATCCTGGGCAACACGGTGAAACCCCGTCTCTACTAAAAAATACAAAAAACTAGCCGGGCGAGGTGGCAGGCGCCTGTAGTCCCAGCTACTTGGGAGGCTGAGGCAGGAGAATGGCGTGAACCCGGGAGGCGGAGCTTGCAGTGAGCTGAGATCTGGCCACTGCACTCCAGCCTGGGCGACAGAGCGAGACTCCGTCTCAAAAAAAAAAAAAAAAATTGAATGCACAGAAAAAAAACTCTTGTAATAAAACTTGTTCTCCAGATTACCTAAAAAAAAAAATCTATTCACCAAAATGTTTATTAATATGTTTTATTTGTTGTATTATCCTTTCCACTTGAAACAGCTAAACAAAAAGTCATGAGAAAGGCAATAATTATATTATTTATAGAAACAGAAATTTTAACTCCTCCTTTTAAAAATTAACTACTGAGTGGCAGATTAATACTAGAGAAAGGAAGTGAGTTGTTATATGGCAATATTTATTTACTTATAGGCTATTTAGCATGCAAGTGACTTGATACTGGAGACAAACTATAGGAAGTTATTATTGCATATTACTTTTATGAGAAAGGTGATTTGAACTCAAATGCAGCTGCTGAGACAGAGTAATTATTGTTCCTATTAACTTCATTATTGCCCCAATATAAAAAGTGACCAAAAAGCTCAGTTCAGTTATGTTTTAGTAATTTATGACCATAAACTAATTACTTTCTCAGTACCACTCAGAGAGAAGGAACTAAAGACAAAAATCTCACATTCCATTCAGAGCACATGTATCTGGAGTAGCTGTCACTAAAAAAACCAATTCACTTGAAATTAGTTAAACCAAGCAGTATGTAACGTTTAGTCGATTTCTCCTGGTATATCAAATTATTTTCCTCTTCAATTTAGTAGAACTTCATTGAAAAGCATATATCATAATATTCATCTAGAATTAAAAACATTTCTAAATGTTAATTGAGATGATTTTCTAAAAGTTACTAACTTCTTTTAGAAGTGCTTATGTTGTTATTCCCATATAAGTGACTGACAGCAAGCTGGCATTTATCTTAGCATGTTGCATACAAGAAAGATTTGTAACAGAATACTATAGCCTAGGCTGAATTATTACTAATGAAAATAGATTAGCAATCTAAAGGTTTGTTTATTTAGAATACTGTTACTTTCTTCAAATAAGAGATTATTTGATGTTGGCTTTTGCTAAATTTATCTGGATATGATGGACTGGATTCATGATAGATTTACATCATTTAAAAAATATGAGTGTGAATTTTGTCTCCCAGTGGCAATACAAGAAGGAATAGAGCTCTATGAATCCAATGGGAGATCTGACTGTTCAACTGATTTTTCCATATTTGCTTAGCTTGTACATTTCTGGTGTGTGTGTGTGTGTGTGTGTGTGTGTGTGTGTGTGTTTGTGTGTGTGTTTTCATAAAATATGAGAGGAGAAAACTTACCTTTATAGATAGTGACTGTCTGGGGATACGAGGGAAAGCAGTTACCCTTAACATTAAATATTTCTAGTCATTACAATATATTAAAACACATTAGTAGGAGAACAGCAGGTCTCCTGAGTATCCTCAAAGTCTTTCCAATCATGATTGGAAAAATATCTAAATTGCATATATTTTTTTATTCACTAAATGAGCCCGATTTAAATAAACATGAACTGTTGGAATTATATATGATATAATGATTTTGCTCTTCATTTGACTTTGATAATAACATTAAAGGGTTTTGAGTTAACGGAGGCCAGGGTAAAATATACTTATCTTATTTTTCATGTTAATCAATATTTTATTCTCACAGGAAGATCTCTTCTGTTTCATATCTTAGCTTCATTTCTACATACTTAAATTCAGTAACTTAAAAAAGATTAATGCTAAATATAAATATAAAACAGTCTTCATCATAAATGTTCTCTAAGACTAATATCATCATAAAATAAACTGTAGACTGTAATTATCACCCACAAGAAAAAGCTATAAAGAAAGTACTAAATATGTGTCTACTAATATGAATACCAGGATAAAATGCAATCCCAACATGGTGAAGTTTAGTTGAAACAAGAAGAGTCTCTATTTCAAAGCTTAAGTAAAGCCATTTTTAAGTTGACTTTTTTTCTAATTAAAATGATTTTCATTAAATACTTGAAATTACTAGTGTTATATGAATTGAACTTAATCTTAACTTTTATTAGATTATCAGACTATGTTTTCAATTCTAATAGAATTCTTATTGATGTGATTTGCCTGTTTTTTCCTAAAATAATACTATTTGGTGAACATGTCATTTGTTGACAATCATTAGATGATATATCAATATCCCTATGTAAGAATAAATAAAGAATGCAAAATTTTCATCAAAATACTTACTAGCATGATTGTAAACTTCCTAGATAATTTGCTTCCTTTAAAGGTCTACCTCACTGAAAATCATGTTTCTACAAACTGATTTTTCTCCAAGAAGTATACAAGAGATAGATTTTCCTCTTATTAGATCAGAAAAGAACCAGAGGTAAAATGGTCTCACACACGAGAAGATTTACAGGGATAACCACTTAACACTTTGCATTACCTGTTCTTCATTAACTTTTTTTCTTTCGTTTTTTATTTGTTTTTATTTTTTGAGACAAGAGTTTCACTCTGTTGCCTAGGCTGGAATGCAGTGGAACGATCTTGGCTCACTACAGCCTCCGCCTCCGCCTCCTGGGTTCAAGCAATTCTCATGTCTCACCCTCCTGAGTAGCAGGGATTACAGGTCCATGCCACTATGCCCAGCTAATTTTTAATATTTTTTAGTAGAAATGAGGTTTCGCTATGTTGGCCAGGTGGCTCTCCAACTCCTGACCTCAAATGATGCACCTGCCTCATCCTCCCAAAGTGCTGGGATTACAGGCGTGAGCTACCAGGCTTGGGCAATTAACTTTTTCCTTGAAGATGAAACTAATGAAGTGATACCTCCTCTTTTTCAGTTGTTTTCAGAAATATGGTTGAAAAGTATTGTCCAGATTTGGATTTGTTTGCTCTGTCTTGCTATTGTTAAGTTTTTAAAAATTCATGATAGACTATTGGGGATATTTAAAAATTATAAATATTTTAGTGTTGTCATCATGGATACCAAACTGGGAAATAATTTTGTTAGATAAATAATACTTTCAGGGTGAGTTAGGTTTTCATTTATTTGATTAATTTGTTGGCATTGGATAAACAGTTACAGATTTTCATATATAATATTTTTAAAAATGTTATACCTTTGATGCCTGTAGTGAGTCTGATGTTTTACTCTCTGTGCCTTGCTATTTGAGATGTTCACCTGTGCTTCAAAGAATACCGTGATTTTGCTGTATTTTTAGTTGGCTATTAAACCATCACCACCGTAGTGACTCAGGCAGGCATCATCTCTACTAAGCCAGTGACAGCCTCAGTTTTGGGGCTCAACAGACTGATATATGTATGATCACTCCAAAGCAAGATACCAAAGATTATTCTAGAATAACCTGAGTGGACGCTACCTGAAAATTTGACTAAATAGCACCAATAGTATTGATAATCCTGTTTTAAAATATTAAAAAATGCTATTTCTCTCTTTAATTTGACCACTAAGAATAATTCAGTCACTAATTTTATCTCTCATAATGGCTTACATTTCCAGCTCTTTAAAAATAATACTTTTTTATACAAATACTCAGGGACGTATAATTAGAATAACACATTTTGTAATAAAAGCAGAGTCTATGGCTTGTGCTTTCAATGAGTCATCAGAACATCCTGAGGGCAGCTCACACTACACACATGACATTTTATGTAAATTTCAGCTGCAGTATACGACAAGAGTAATAAAAAAATCTACTATGTACCAGAGACTTTTCCCATTTAATCTGTATATGGCTTAGAAACAGTATAATCCCATTTAAAAGATGAGAAAACCAAGGTACCAAGAAGTAACAAACTCAATTTAAAGTCGAGTCTGGGTTATGATCACAGAGGGTCTGGCTTCAGAGTCTATGCCCTTAACCTCTACACATTCTGACTCCCTGAAAAAGTTCCAGTAGTTGTTATTTATGCAGTTCTTTCGTGTATGATAGTCCTAAGTCTAATCTGAAATGCAAGCTGAGCTAAATTTAGCTTCTCCATTTTGAAGATAGAAACAATCTAAGTGAAATTCGGTCTCTTGCAATGAAACCACTGCTAGTAACCGGAAAATTAGCAATTTCAAACACAGGATTCTAAAAATAAATTTAGTCATTTAAAAGACAAACTATAATTTGACAGTTTTATCTTCAATCCAACAAGATAGTGGCTCATGTGTTACAAAGTACAGTTTTATAATGTGATATGACTATTGTCCAAAATTTGAAAGTAATAAAATCAAGTCCATGCAACTACCATACAGTAGACAACTTAACTCCTGGGATATCTTCAACTGAAAATAATTAAGTTTTAAAGAAAAAGAGGTTTCAGAAGAAAGTTATTTTGATCATATAATTTATTTTAATAAAAACAAAATCTAGAGACTTACTCTCTATATATCTTTTCCATATCACCAACTCTAAGAAATGGAAAGTGGGGACAGTGACATAGAGCATATTATCTGGAGAGATTTCCTGCTCTGTTTAAACTCCACCTCCTTTTACCTACACCATTCCTCAATCACCTTGCCTTATTAAACTACATAAATCTCCTCTGTTGTTGCTGTTATGCCCACTTAGGATTTGAGACATTATTTGTGTGGATCTGTGAAATACTTTTTTCTTTCTCTTTCTTTTTTGTTTGTTTGTTTGTTCGTTTCCTTTTTGGCCTTTATTTATTCTTCCTAATGGCTAAGGCCCATTTTAATGAGGTGTTATAGTGCTTTTCCTTTATTCTGTGACCATCTCTACAATGTATGGAATGATCATTCAATGTTATGCTAAACAAAAGAACTGATGTTTCACCATACACTCTATAAGAAGATTCGCAGACCTCCACTCACCTGGCTGGCTGTGCAGTTGGATAGGCAAGTCCTATTATCAGCTGCCAGATAGAAGTTGGTGGGACATGCACAAGTGTGGGTTTTTCCAGGGGCTAAAAGGCACAGATGACTGCAACCACCATTATTTATCATGCAGAGATGTTTGGAGACTACAGATAAGAAAGAAACAACAACAACAAAACAGGATAATCAAAACTAGTAATATAACATGGGATTAGAGATAGGACACTTAAGCTTCATCACTTGAATTGGAATAAACCTTTGTAATCAAGAACTCATCAAGACTATAAATATAATTTTACTTTGTCACAAATGCTACTCATTGTCCATTGACATTAATTTGACCATTCAATAATTTTAAGGGTGCATTTCTACAAAACAAGAATTTTAGTAGGAAAAAACTGTCCATGAGAAAAATAAACAAGACTAGAAGCATTTTGGATGAAGACAACATATGTTCAGAAATACAAACATAAAATAAAACAATGAAACAATGATCTACACCTAGGAGTGTAATGGCTTTGCTTTATAGGCCAGATAGGTTTTTTAAGGAAAATAATCAAACCTTTATTTCACAAGGCCAGATGAAATTCCTATTAAACATATGTTGAAGAAAACTTGATAGAGTTGTCAGTTTTAAAATCTGAGAGCTACTTAAACATAATTCCTCCTACTCAGCATTGCAGAAACTAAGGATCCTCTATTTTGTAAACAAATTATTTCAAGAATACAGTCTTCACTTATCTGACTAAGTGCATTATTATCATTTTAGCTTTATATGAGTTGAACAAATCTACAATTCTTTGTCCTATTATTGAGCTTCTATCATATGTCTTAAGAGCAGTACTTCATATTGATTGAATTCTTCCATAAAGTGATGCTAAATAATTAAATCTAGTAAACTTCATCAAAAATAAAATTACATTTAACCTTGAAAGAATAAAAAATGGAATGTTACTGAAAGATGTTAATGCATTTATGGAAATCATGGAAAGAATAATTACCATCAGGTTGTCTATAAGAATGATACACCTGGATATCTGTGATGGCATGCCATGAGTTAATCAGTGAGAGTCTGTCTGCTCCCGATGTTTTATGGGCACGGCTGAGTGACTTGGTTTTCCCATCAGTCCAGTAGATGTAGTCTTCAAACAATGTTAGTGCAATCACCCCTGGAATATCTTGATTAGGGACTGTAATAGGAGATGGTAAGATTAATGTTCAGTCTTGGAAGACTGCCAGTTAAAATATTCAATACTACATGGGCTGACAGATACAACTGCTACAGAACTTCATGTGAATAATTGCTGTGACAACCTGTCAGGCCAGCAAAGTTCTTTATTACCGGTTAAGAGAATGCAGGATTGGGCACAGGAGCTAGCTTTGCTCAGATTTGGCTTGGTTCAATCACTGGAAAAAGAAATGAATGTGATTCTTTCACCATTAAAGCCTGCTTCACCAGAAACAAATACCATCCACCATTTTAAAATTCATAATTTATATATATGTGTGTATGTGTGTGTATACATACACACATATTTACATATATACATATATATCTCCTTCTGGTTGTTCTTAACTTAAATACCTAAATCTAAATGTCATTGTCCTACTTTTTTCACATGCAAAATGATTAAATTATAGGTCCTGGAAGAAATGTGTCTACTACCTGGAAATAAAGTGGCTGTGAAACTACTATAAACCTTTCAGCCACTGAGATTTTATGAGCACTTTTACTTGCAAGGTGAGCTGGGATGGGGTAGAGGGAAATAAGTGTGGCAGATAATATTGTATTATGCAAATTTAATGATCATAAAACTGTTTAGGTGCAGATTAAAATTGTTTTATAATTATTCTTTCTGATGTTTAAATGTAAACAGTAGAGTGAGCATCACAAATGTGAATTATTCATTTGAGAGAGTCCAGGGTCCTATCCAGTAAATAAGATACGGTAGATCTGTTCAGTGGTTTGGGTTTAAATAATTTTAAACAGTGATAGAGTTTTCTTTGTGCTTCTACTTTCTCAAGATTGACAAATAATAAATGGAGAAGATGAAAATTCTCTAACTTATACAAACATACTATTTTTCTGTATTAATTTTGAGATATACTTTTAGAAATTCTAACATGTTCATTAATGAAAAAAGGTACGATATTTCCAGTAATATTTACTTTTTTCTTAGATTTTAATGACTGAAAATTAATGTATGGCATATTCCTCATTCAGTAGTAACTAAAAAACTATCAAAATTTCAAATACAATTTAGTATTTACAAGAAGCTTTACAGCCTTATTTTTTAAAGCTGAGTAAATTTGTATTATCAACTAAAGCAGATATTTTAATTTTTTTGATTTGTTATTTGTATTCTGATAGGCCAAATGTTATCAGATAACTCACTACAACTAAGAGACAATAGAAATAAAAGAAATAAAATTAGAAACCTCAACATAAGTCATATATTAAGTCACTGAATACTATTTCTAATATAAAATCTAGTTAGAAATTCATCTCAGAACAGATACTATGCATATGAAGGATGTAAACATTTTAAAAATCCAGATTTGTACACTTTAGATGTTTTGAATTTTGATGTAAAAATCTAGATGTGCACACAACTTAATTATCTATGTGCTCTTGTAGACACAGATATCATTACTAAAATAAGTGAAATTAGATAGAATGAAAAGAAGGACACTTTACTATAATTAATTACGTGTGAGCTATTTATACAAACTAATCCCACCATTTTTCTTTGACTTTATAAATTCATACAAAAAAGATAAAATAAATGTGGCAAAATGTTAGTAATTAATTGAATCTTGGTGATGGGTGATTATTATAAGATCCTTTCACCTTATATATAGATTTCAAGATTTTTAGAATAAAATAAAAATTTATGGAGAATGTTGAAAGCCTCAAAATATTTCACGTGAATCTCGTTAGATGCAAAGGTGATAGTTAAATCATTAAATATGGGCTCAAAAAGTTAATCATCATTTTTAAGGACCACAATCCATAAGAGATTTAATTTACTTATGTAAGAAAAATAAAGTTATTGTAAGAATCTGCCAATTAGCACATCAAAAGTAACAGTTTTTTTCAATTATCAGCAGTAACTACAGGTGATATTTATTAAGCACTTGGGTGCACTAGAACTAGGCCAGTGGGAGAGGCAATTTATATATTTTATTTTATTTTATTTTATATTCTTAAAAACTCTATTGTGCAGTAGTAGTGATATGGTTTGTCTCCATGTCTCCACCCAAATTTCATGTTGAATTGTAATCTCCAGTGTTGAAGGAGGGATCTGGTGGGAGGGGATTGGATCATGGGAGCGGATTTCTCCCTTGCTATTCTCCTGCTAGTGAGCGAGTTCTCACGAGATCTGGTTGTTTTAAAGTGTGTAGCACTTCCCCCCTATACTCCCTCTCTCCTGCTGCCATGTGAAGATATGTTTGCTTCCTTTTTGCCCTTCTGCCAGTAAGTTTTCTCAGGCTTCCCCAGTCATGTCTCCTGGACGCCCTATGGAACTGTGGGTCAATTAAACATTTTTTCTTTATACATTACCCAGTCTCAGATAGTTCTTTAGGGCAGTGTAAGAATGGACAAATACAAGTAAAGTTCATTTTGTAGATGAGGAAACTAAGATGTGGAAAATTTAAGTAACTTGGCAAAAGAGGGGTAGAAAAAAACTAGTAATTAAAAGTACTGGTATTTGAATCTTAGCTCTCTCCGGATTGTGCTCTCTGGCCGTGTGATACCCTTCCACCATGGGATGACACCAGATGACAGTGCCATGCTCTTGAATTTTCCAGCCTCCAGAACCATGAGCCAGCTAAACTTATTTTCTTTGTAAATTACCAAGTCTGTAGTATTTTGTCATAGCAACAAAAACCAGACTAAGACAGTAAGTACATGGAGCTAATAAAAATAAACATGAGATGTGAATGTATGAGAAAAACTTTTAACAAACAAACCCTTAACTAATGCTGAGATGTGGTTAAGTTTGGGGAAAAGTAGTCAATGTTGCCTAAAAATGATGATGACTATCATTTTTAAGAGAAAAGTTATATGACCAGTTGTCTATATAAAACTGCATTTGCTTAATTAACAGAGAAACATGAAAAGTACATTTAATAAATCTTTCATTTACAGATATTCAGTAGACACAGAAAAAAGAATACACAGAGCTGCTATGTGGGCTGTAGTTTCACAGGTACTGACTATATATCTAAAGCCTATTTTATAGCTGCTTACTATAGTTAAGTCTCTATTCGGTGTAACAGCATTACATATTGTACTTTTTCCAGAATTCCACTCAAGCACTAGGTTCCTAATTTTTATTTCATAGACTACATCATTCAGAAGAAAAGGGTTGATATTTGGCAAAAATAAATAAATCAAATAAATACTCCTTTTGGGAGTTTTTCCCTTTGAGTTGAGTTGGATGCTATCCTGCTAAAGCTCAGTGTAATTACGACAAATAGAAAAGGTGGTCATTGCTTGAACCCAGGAGGTGGAGGCTGCAGTGAGCCAAGATCGCACCACTGCACTCCAGCCTGCGTGACACAGCAAGAGTCTGACTCAAAAAAGAAAAAAAAAAAAGAAAGAAAGAAAGAAAGAAAGAAAGAAAGAAAGAAAGAAAG